GCCTGCTTTTGCTCCGGAGCCAGCGCGTTGCCAGACGTTCCCGTGCGACGAGAGAAGGAGCATGGCAGAAGGTCGCAGGGGCTGTGCAGTGACCCCGGGAGGTGAGCGAGGGCTCACGGGCCCAGTGCCAGATAACAGGGAGCGGTTAACCTTTCACTGGGATTTTGCAGCAGAGGGAAGAGCAGTGTCCCTGCTCCCGGGTCACCCTTGTAGTTTAGCCTGGCCAGCAACTAAACACCACACAGCTGCTCACTCAACCTCCTCCATCCCCAGGGAATGGGGAAGAGAGTTAAAGGGAAAAAGGGATAGAGACCTGTGGGCTGAGATAAGAACAATTTACTACTACTATACGAATACATATGTATAATGAAAATAATATATACAAACAAGTGATGCACAGTGTAATTGCTCATCACCCAGTGACAAAGACTTGTCCTGGACTAACAATCCCAAAACAAATAAGTCCTGATAGCGCAATCCCAGATGAGCGAGAAGCCCAAAATAGAGAGCATGAGAGAGAGAGAGCACTCCGAGAGTTTGAGTGTGAGAGCTCTGGAAGAGCAAAGGCCCTTCTTTCCAGTCAACCCTCATCTTTATACTGGGCATGATGCTGCATGATATGGGATACTTCATTGGCCAGTTTGGCCCTCAACCCTAAGTCTAAGTTCAAATCATAGGGGGAGTTATGGACCCTCTGTCCCAGCTCTGCTTCCCCCCAACCTGTTGTGCTCCTGCACACTGGCAAGAACACGGGAAGCTGAAAAGTCCTTGAGGCCTCAGTGCCAGCTATAAACATCAGTGGCTATCAACGTTCTTCTCATAACATGTCCCAGGCTGAAACCAAAACACAGAGCTCTTGTAGCTGATAAAGAGAACTAACTCTGCCCCAGCTGAAACCCGGACAGCTCTGCAGCCTGCAAGGATGGGGACGTGGGGCTGGGCTTGCTCCCTTGCAGGCAAGGGCCCTTCTCTCAGCCGGCTGGCGGCTCCGGTGACTGTCACTGCGGAAAGGTCAGCGCTGATGGAGGGCACTTGTGGTGGCCACCCTTCCCCGGCCGCCCCGGCGGGGGGGGGGGGGGCCGCTAAAAAAAACTTCCCTAGCCACTGTGAGCATCTTGCTCCTCTCCAGGGCTATGAAAAGCAACCGTAACTACAGCTGTGTCCTGAGCCATCGTAAATCGTCTGGAGGCCAAAACACAAGTTGCTCCTGCGCAATCTCATCTCTCACCTGCAGCCACGCTGAGAGCCACCTCCTCAGAAGGCATGGAGAGCAGAGGAGATGGATGGGGAGAAGGGCTGGAGCATAACACTGCCCCGGGAAGGCATCGCGTTAATGCAAGAGATGTGACAGGAGGACACCGAGAGGCAGCGAGCGTGCGGGAGCAGGACGGCTCGGGAACATTTTGCTGCAAGAACATCCTGATAGCTTCTTGAAATTAATGGAGGCAGAGGCAGGCGGGAGAGGGGCTGGCAGCACAGCAGCCCTGACGGGCACGCTCACCGCAACAGGAAGTGAGCCCTCTGAAGCCCACCTTGCTCAGCTGAGCAGCTATCATTGTTCAGCCTCTGGGGACAGGAGAACTCCACATGGGGACAGGAGGACACTTTCCAGCCTTCCCCTTTCTGACAGCTTACTCACAGCCAAGACGTACCTCAGACAGCTCAAAAGCAGAGAACAACAGAGGCCATCCAAAAGCCTCTCCTGGCAATCAACTGTCTTTGTTAAATGGCACCAGGAGCTGGTAGCAAGGAGCCACTCTGCAAACCCCAAAGCCTCACCAGGTGCACCAAGGCACAGCATAGTCCAATCTCAACCCCGCATGAGTAAGTTGGTGGGAAGAGATCTTTAAATCAGGCCTTGGTGGTGTTTTCAGCAGACTGAGCAATGCTTTCGGTTTGGGCTGCGACACAGCAGGGCAAGGCAAGAGCCGGTGTTCCCAGGGCTCACCTGGCCATTCAGAATAGCTGCTCACTCTTTCCTTTTTCTCTGGGGTCATTGCAAGCTGCCACCAACAGCCCTCACATGATAGTGGTCCAGGCTCTCCTTTCAACATGCACTTAAAAACAGTCACTGGTTTTCAAAGTTAGGAATGGGAAACATCAAGTTGCTCTGGGGAACAACATTAAGTATGAGATTTCCCTGAGTAAGCAACTGAAGATGAAATGAATAGACATTGATCTTCTCCTAAAGGACTTTGCACATGATGTTGCTAAATTCCCTGTCTGGGAAGTACAGAGGATAATCTATAAAATCATTTTATTTGACAACATGTCTGCTTCCAACACATAAGGCAACAACTGGATGATTATTTGATTAATGTGCTAGAAAATATTGAGTATCTCTCTGTGTGGAGACTCTCATTT